ACCTGTAGCTGCATCTCCTCGTTTTTAACAGAGCCCTCTGAAAAATGGCCGCTTTTGTCTAGCAGGACCTCTCTCTGGCCACAAGAGCCGGTCCTTGGAAGTTTAAAGTACCGTTATTCTTACCTGTTTTCGACCGCACGGGAGCACGTGCGTTCGTGTCATTCTTAATATTTGACCTGTCAGGACAGTCACGTGCATAATGTCCGACCTTATGGCAAGCAAAGCATTCTATTTGTCTGCTCAAGTTTTCTTTTGATGAGCGTTTCTTATAAACCTGCCTGTCCCCCTCTAATTTATCTAATCTCTCTAAAATTTTGGAAAGAATTTCGACTTGATTGTCTTCTCTTTTATTTGTGGTGGCGTTAATTATACCTGCATTGTCAGTGTTACTTAATTTCCCATATGCATTAATTTTGTTTGTCTCCCCCTCATCTACAAAAGTATGTTGAATACATGATTCATCTAATGCCCTTCTGGTACTATCCCTAGTTTTACGCGTATTTCTAGTCTGCAGCATGTTAACAACGTGAAATACCGCCTCATCTATTGTCTCTGGTTCTTTATGAAATTCGACCTCGAACCTCACGTCATCATCTCGAATACCGTCTAAAAACCTACGAACTAAATCTTCTTCACGTGTTTTGCGATCGCGGTAACCGTGAGCCTTATCGTACAAATACTTAAGATCGGCCGCAAAATCTTCGGCAGTTTCTCCAACTCTCTGCACACGTCTACTAAATTTCGCTGAAAACGATCTTGACGTTTCGATCACTCTAAATCGGCTATTCATTTCGCAAACCAGTTCCTTATAGTTGGTCAAAACTCCCGGATGAAGTTGTGAAAATACAAAGCGTGCCGCGGGACCCTCAATACGCGGCAAAAGTTGATCAAGCTTATCGTCGTCTGACCAATTATATCGACGCGCCAATGCTTCAAACCTGGCTAACCAAACTGCCCATTCCTCATTTCCGGTAAAAGATGACATTTTGAAATTACCCATATTACATTTATTTGGGCCGTTATATTCATTGCTCCGCATTCTAGGAATATCGGACGGATAATAACTATCCAACTGTTCATCACCGTGCCCTCCAGCACGTGCTCGATAATTTTGGGAAAAGTCGTTTTCATACGAAGTGCGTCGTGCATTTTCACCATTATTTGGCCTAAACGCAAAGGGGCTAGTTCTATTCTGAAACATACTAGGTTGGCTTTGAGAAGACTCATTATAGTTTCCCCCACGTTGTACACCGGCGATACCATTTTGGTTAAGATTAAATGAATTTTCGTCGGCCAAATTACCGCCATTCATATTGACGTTAGTTTCACGGGCTTGTTTGAGTGACTTAATTTCATGGGTCATATCACGCAAACAACTTGTTATATCATTTAACATGTGACGCATTTCCTCATTATTGTCGGTCTGCGATTTCCATAGGAAAGACGTATTTACACCGGTACTTTCCCTAGTAACGGACCTAAACGATTCTACGGAAATATTATCATCATCATCCGCTGATTGTCTGTTACAACCATTTGTTTGCATCTCTGAATCCTTCCGATTGAAAAATATCGTCTGCTGGCTGTCAACAGCTTCTAATGTATTCATGGTAGCGTTTTACGAAAATCGTCTGGAGTCTTGAGCTCGAATCACTGGACCCGTATGGAATTACGGATCCCACCGCTTCGCACCAAAAATGTTACGTGCTGGCCCTATTGGACACGGGAAATCAGGCTTACTCTTTATATCAGGGACTTCTGCTTTCGCGTGGACATGTGGCGAACAGTAACGTGTATATTGTTTGACCCCGCAGCAAAGACAAGTGGACTTATGAATATTAGGAAGTTACACACCTTTTAAAGAACTAAAATCTGATCAATAATGGACTAAGAATAACAGTTTAACGAATTTTATTTGAGGTATTCAATTATGCACATTCATTCGTTAAAATATAAATATTGTTATAATAAACAGATATTCAGATCAACATTCTCTTCTTGTATATAAGACAAAAGGTATTCGTTATGAAAATTATGGAACAAATATGAGGTGTCGGTGGCTAAGCAATGTTTAAAGGAGAATTATATAACAATTTACTTACGAAATATTTTAAAAGCGATCTAAATTAATAACGTAAGTTATTACGTTAACCAAACAAATTATTAAACAAATTCTGAGCGTTTGCTACTGAATGCGTAAGTTTCGAAGTAAACAACTTCTATTCAAAGTAGATTTCTAAAAATTATCTTACTTAAAATAATAAGATAGATCTAGTTCAATATAAGTAAAAATCTATTAAATCGTTAAGTTAAATACCTATTCTATCTGAAATAAGATCAAAACGAGAAACGGTAAGGTATTGCTATGAGTTTTCCAAGCTGCGGAGTGCCTTCAAACAGTGATGAAGCGCCTTTTATACTCGCGTTTCAAACATAAACAACAATGTTTGTCAACAATTCAAACAAAAATAAAAGGGGACCCATAAGGGGTTCAAACAGTTCCGACACCTCAAACAGTTAATAAATATATCAACATATCAATGCATATAAATGAAATTAATGCGTACATTTACCATAGGTAATTATAACAATGTTCAAAATACAATAATAAGGAGTGAGAAGTAGATAGCGCGCCTATTAATAATTACATACAAAAAACATTGATTCAAACACTTCCCGCCGAAAACCCCCCGTAGAAATCAAGCAGATCTTATAATTCAGTATGACGTCACTTTAGTGCATGTATGACGTAATCTCAAAGAAGCATACAAAATGGCGGACTCAAATAACAATACATGTGTTTATCTAAGAAAGTAAAGAATATTAACAAATTTAAGGTGAATTGACACAAGAGGTAAGTCATATAATGATAATAAGATAAGTTTAAAGCTATACATACAAGCGTAGATTAAAATTTAACGGTATAAGGTGATAGGACGCTAATTTCGAAAACGAAAGTAGGTTGATTTACCGGCGCATATCAATATCAACAAGCTTATTGACGTGTGTTATCATTGTTCGTAGAGCACGACCACCAACCGGATATAAAGATAAGATGACTAGCTTTGGATGAATGGGTTCTCTTACTAATGAGCAATTCTTCAAACACAATAAGGTATTTACCGTCAATCATATCCACCAGCCAGAACACAATTACAACATTAAAGTTAACGTAAATGTTTGTGTTGACTTGATCTTTGGCGCTTTTTGTTAGTTAAACCGAGTATTCAAACTGGTGGTTTAAGCTTACCAAACATTTTTCGTATTGGTTACTAATTAGAAATAATGGGCTAAACATTTGATCCCATGTAACTTGATTAAATAGAAAAACATACACCTGGAAATTTAGAATTGGTTGTGAATGAAAGCACTGTTATATGATGACTACTTAATTGTGCTAAGAAATAGTAATTTGATAAGGAGCGATACCAATTTAGTAATCAACAAATAGTGTTTCCTTGGAAGCATTAATCACAACAAAATTACAAGAGAATTGCAGACTCGGTTTGATTAAGTCTGTACATGAGGGATATTGAATATGTGCAACATCCCTCACGTCCCCTAGCATCGGCTTGAGCTGTACTCAATTCTCAACACTTAATAGTGCTGGCATCAATGATCCCAAAGGACCAGAAAACAACACTGAACATTTTTGAGTTTAGTTTATTCTTAACCAAATTATTGAACATATTAAGCAAATGTGATTTTTACAAAACAAAAATGTATGTGTTTTTAGTATGGTGTTGGAGCGTTTGCAAAACATTAACTGGTGTATATCTTTAGTAAATGTTGACGATTACGTAACCCATGTTGTCATTATGTAGCCAAATTTTTAATAACATGTGAAACCGCCACGTGCCCGGATGATAACCTCAACCCTTCTCCTCCTCATACTACCAGTAAGGTGTTTAAAGCGCTTTTGAGGTACAGTTTGCCATTCTTGGCGCAGAGCTTGTTCCATTTGTTGCAGGGGTTGACTACAAATATGTACCATTGCTCAAATAAAATTTAGAATTTCAGTTGTGTTCATGTTACAATTGAGGCAAAATGCTAGATAATGATACGCCTTAATATGTAACAGTAAATATTTCTTTGTTGCAATTTATTTAGTAAGAATGTTTATGCGGAATAAATCTTAAACGTGATTTTTTCAGACATTGTGAAGAACAATGATATATCGACATAAGTCCGTATGTCAGTGTATATGTCCGTCCGCACATTTTCACGATGCTACTTTGCAATATGTAACTGCTGGCTGAAAATCAGTAAAACTTCACAGGACGTTGTAGTATCAAACGAGGTTGTACATATAAGCAGCACATTTTTGTTCACCGCTTTTGATGTTCCTTTTAAATGCTTTTTTTCTTCTTTCTTTTTTAGGCACTTTGCAATTTTCATCCAAATTACCCACTGGGCATCACGCTATCAGAAAATGATGTGGAGTATGGCTAAATGTTCCGGTCCAATGGTCTTCACAATGTAATGACCTTCTAATGGATTCCCGCTGAAATAGTTGTCCATTTTGTTAATAAAATCATACAATTTTTGATGAAAACTATCATATCATTAAAAAGAGCCCAAATACTTTGAGTCGGGAATTTGAAAAAAGAAATAATAATAATAAAAAAAAAATAAGAAAAATAAAACAAAAAAAAGTGTTGGCAAATTTGTTCAAACGCAATATCTAAACAATGATTTAAACTATCGAAAAAGTAACCTTATGTTTTGGCGGCCGCTATATTATGCATAATAATCAATATAATTATATATTTTTTAAATTCGATCCATAAAGATTCAGGAAGTAGACATTCAATGTTAAATATTCGTCTTGATATTATAAAAGAAAACATTCAAAAGAAAACATTAACAAAGAAATCCACAGAAAGTAATGTAAACTATTTTCGATAGACATGGCCAAAATTTGAAATTTATAAATTAATGTGACAATCTTAGGAATTTACATCTAGCATAGTTTAGGTAAAGCAGTAACCTTAACAACGTGAAAAATAGCTGCAGATAAACAACCACAACTTACGTATACGACGGCACATATCTTTATTTATAAATGTCAAAATATACCCATATATAATACAAATTCAATATAGCTAGACCGCCTCCGTGGTCGAGGGGTTAGAGTCGATGACTTCTAATCCAGTCACCTCTCTGGCGTGGGTTCGATCCCCGGGAGATGCTTTGGTAGGACGGTGGTCTAGTACTGGTGAAACTCTCCAGGAACGATGGTTAGGAAACTACCCGCCCATATAACTTAACTACTGTTGGAAAAATGCGTAAAATGAAACAAACAAACAAACAAACAGACAAAAACAATACAGCTAGGTTGCAACACTGACTAGCAATCACAGTGCAATGTGGATATATCAACTCAAGGATCTGGAAACAAAGTGATCACTCGGAGGTATTAATCACAACAAAAATACAAGAGAATTGCAGAATTACAGTTTGATCGAGTATGTACATGAGGGATAATGAACACGTGCAACATCCATCACGCCCTTCTAGCACCGGTTTGAGCGGTACTCAACAAAATTAAGTCGACAAGATATATTCAAAAGAGTTACTTTCAAAATGTAGGAAATAATGTAAATGTAGTCTTTAATCGATTTCAGTTAAGAAACTATCTTTAACCCAGGCTAGATTTCGCTTTTGGATCTACACAAAGAAAACTAGTAAAAAAGGACACGAAATATACGAGTATAGATATGAATATCATCATTTGTATAATAAGGTGTATTTTAACACAACAAAAATTTATGTATCGCCTTAATGTCATGCTTCACAATTATCCTGTTTTTAGATGTATTTAAATTTCTATATACTTATTAAATAGTTGTTGTGAGCGAAGGCTAGATTAAACTTTTGAAAAGAAATTATTTATGTGATTAAGAATCGCTACACTACCAGGTAGGATTTTTAATTTTAATTCGATATCAACACTTACTTTTTGTCATGTTTGGAAAAAAACATACATTTGTGTTAAACACCCAAAGCACTTATTGGCTAAATATATTAGAAACAATTGCTTGTGAATGTTAATTTTATAAGTTGAACAGTTTTATGTAGATATTACTCTTGTTTGCTGATAATGGATTCAATAATGTAAATAAAGATTATCATGTGCCAAATTAAGCAGTTTATAGAATAATACACAAACTGATTTAATTTTGTGAGATTCTTAACTGGCTTTTATACCTCCTATATCAGCCGTACTAAATGTCTTGTATTTTTTTCGTTTTAATTTAAGATCATTTTCCCGTGAATAGTTGCGCCAGCGTAATTTTTACTGCCTAGTAGGGAATGAATGTCAGTTGTTGAAGTTGTTTGCCGCTTCGATAATGTATTGAATCGCTGTTTATGCATATAAAGTACATAAACAAAGTTAACGCTCTTGTGCTTGGTTATGTTGCGGGGATGCATTCATTGAATACCGCACTTCCTTGTTAATCTTGTTATTCATATTTGATAATTTACATAAATCATGTCGTATGATATTTATTAAATGTATGGGATGGTTTTTTTATGTCTGTAAAGGACATAAACAAACGCCTTGGTAATTCAAATAAAGGAGTACAATTTGTGGCGTAAACCATACAAATATGTTTATGAAAGTGCTTAAATGTAGCGAAGAAAATTTCAATGGAAAGATACATGATGATCAAACATAATGAGAGAACATAATCAAACGCAATGACGAAATAAAGATCAACAATTTCTGATGTAAACCATAGAAATGCATTCATCAAAGTGTGCGAGAAGTTTTGTAAAAGCTAATGTCCGGCATGCAAGTTATGTCTAAAATAAATCTAAGTCATGAATTGTTAGGATTAATCGGTAGGTGATGAAATGGGAATCATTAAGTAGTGTCTTGTATATCGGACTGTAAAGGAATATAACACATAAATAACGAGACAATTACATAAAATATATACAAAATGAAGACAAAATGATACATAAAAAGATATTCAACCTAAAAATAATATCGACCACATGACATTGACGTCTCTTCGTCAGAGACTTCTAAATATATATTTCGTTTACTATGGATTTTCTTGCACTGTATAGACTAAACTGTGCCTTTGAGTCTATAATTTTGACTATCACTCGTCTCTTGATCGCTTCTGTATCTTCCAAGCTGGTGCACTGTATCTAAGTCAGAAGATTTAAAATCAATTTTACTTTCACATATCTCCATTGTTTTCGTCTCGAAATATTATGTTTTCTGCATCGCCCAGAATAGCAGATATTTCTAGCATCATTCCACCAATTCATCGCTAACATTAGTGTCAGTATTTACATTGTTTTGTTACTACGCATTATTTTCTATAATATGCGAAACCTCAGTTTTTGATTACTTTGTTTAGTGATTTTACTTTAGGTCCAAATTCTTTAATAAGGTCTTGGTTTAAACAGCCACCAACACAGTATAGGCAATATGGCGACTTTCAAACGATCTTGTTTCAGCTGGCTGACTTTCTTAAACTAATGTTTGATAGAGTGTTTTTATCATTTATTAAGAGACTCAGACATCTGAAAAATATAAATACATGTATGTAATGGTATTTTTGACATCGACAACGAAGAAGATATATTATAAAATCTCCTGATTATCTTAAGATATATACATTTGTATATATTACTAATTATCGGTTTAACGATTAACAGGAAAAAAATATATACGCGCTAAGGTACTTGATAACCTTTCAGCCACGTGTATAAAGTGACAATATGTGTGTATATATTATGTTCGATAACCGGTTTTGCATTTTCATATGTGTAAAAAAAAATCGTTATCGTGTAACTTCATTAATAAATGTGTGGTACTCATTGAATAAAATGATATTACATAATAAATTTTTTTATTAGCTCGTTAAATAAATTCATTATTAAACTTGCACTCATTTAATATTCTCAAGACAATGGGCGATACGTTAATTCAAGTTTAGCATGCATTGCATTAGATTTTTGTTTTAAAATGTTTTTGTTGTTGTTATTAAGAATAACGAACCCTAATGATATTCTATATTTAGTACAATTTTATTTTATTTTACATTTTATTGGCATCAAATCTGGAGACATTTGATACAATGGTTAGGTGTTCGCTAAGGATGTTCGTAAATGTCTAGATTTCGATTCACGTTCCAGGCTACCAATATATGTCCATGTCTTTCCTTTTCAGTTGTATGAAAACTTTCCTTTCCAATTTTCATGATTCGTCCTCAAGAGATATACAAAGTTTAAGTCTCCGGAACAAATATTTTAAGGCATTTCTTTAGTCTGTTTTCCGAAAACTGTGAACACACTCGACAATTGCAGAATCGAGGTGTTGGCGCTGAATAAATGTTAGACCCGAAAGGTATTCCTTATAGCTTTTGAACCAAAATTAAGTGACAAGAGGCAAGGTTAGGTGAAATACGGAGGGATTGTGCGCACAACAACTTTGTTCTGCTTTCGAATATCATGCACTATACAAACCTTGCGTACTAACGCGCTGTCATGCAACAATCAAACATTTACCAGCTTGTTGGGGGTGTTTGATTTTAAAGGCTTTTGTCTATTTTTTGAAGACCTTATATTGTGTTAATATTCCAATTATCAGATTTGCCTTTAAGAACATAAACTTAGGACCCTCAGTTGAATAAAATGGATTTAAAACTTTCTTTATACTGATGGTTCTTTTAACTATCTTTACTTGGACTTTTGACAAATTTTGTAGCCAAAATCATTTTTCAGTGTTCGAAATTTGCAAAAGACGGTTTTATAATTAATTGGATACATTTTAAGCAGCAATTTAACGGATTGAACGGTAGCTTTAGTCTGCTCATTTATCAGCAAATAAGGATGCCATCTAGCACAGACATTTCTTGTATTCGTTATTTGATTCGTTTATTTATCTTTGCAGGAAAAAACAAAACCAGGGACCGTTACTAACAGGCATTCTACTTTTGGGATGGATTCTTCACCACTT